TAATAGTAAGAAAATAAATAAATAAAATAAATTATAGAATTGTAATCACGTACTTATTTGTATTTTTAACAAAAAAATTATATTATTTTAAATAAAGAAAAAAACAAAAATTTCATCATTTTATCTAATTAGTAAATTTTATTTATTAAGCTATTGTGGTTTTTTTAATTATAAATTAATGTAAACAAATAAAAATATAGTAATAATTTAATGTTATTGAAGAGAAAAATGAAGTTGAAACTAATTAGGTAAGTATGAATTAAAAATCATCATAAAAAATCTAAAAATTAAAATGGATAAATTTATCAATAGATTAAAAAATTTTAATTCACTAACAATTTGGTACAAAAAGTTTTTTTAATCAGCTAATAGTTTAAACTCTAACCACTATCTGCTAATTTTAAATTGCTAAATAAAAATTTTTATTAAACAATTAATTTGTAACAATTTCAAAATAAACAAGTTTATTAAACACTAAACCTTAACAATTTGAGCAAAATCAGTAATTGTTACCCATGAACTATTATAACTAACAGGGCCCTTAGTACCAAAAATAAATTAAGTTTGTACAACAGAATATTTTTAGGTAAAAAATCAATTAGTTTAATTATATACAGTCAATTTAAGTGTAAACATACTAATATAGTATGAACACCAATATTCTAAATTACACCGCCAGCATGCTTCCATCTGGGCATAAAAACTAGTGATAGACTTACCACGTTCCTATTTCAAATTATGTAATTCTTCCCACAATTGATACTATCTAGATAAATCAGAAGTAGCATACCTTGTTACTAGCAAATCACATACCCCCTTAGCTGTATCATACCGTCCAAGCTAAAGGTGGATGGAAGGAATGGAGGAGTTAGGTAACCAAGTAATAATCTAATGAGTTTTGCTATCCTAGTCCTCCAAGTGTTACGCAAATTTCTCATCTGCCTTACCAGCAACTTCCTTTGGAGGTTTAACATCACCTAACTTATATCACCATAATTTTCGTCCCTTCACGCATTCCTTGAACCCAGAGTAGGTAATTTGATCCACTAAGGATTGTGGAAATTGGTTGTGCTACATCAGACTTCTCCATAATGAGAAATAACTGAAAGGAGAGAACCATACGGTAAACACGTTATCATTGTAAAGTAGTAAATTTAATATTCCAGTTTTAATATAAAAGCATAATAAGATTACCGAAGAATCTTTCATGTAATATATATTTTTGTCTTTCAAGGCTGAGGGTACGGTAAAGCGAGCAGACTTGTCACTTGCACAACATGGACCCACTCACCGAAGACGAGATTGACAGATTGAAGTTATTGGAGGAAGCCGATCCAGGTTCAACTCGATCAAACAAGCCATTAATTCAGAAGATTACGCAGAAATTGACCTCGTGCTACAGTAGCGAGGAATGCAGAGGATATTTCAAACCAACTTCTGTTGCGATCGGTCCCCTCAACCATCCAAAAGAGACTGACAAAGATCCGAGAATGGAGAGAGGGGAACAGTCCAAGCTAAAAATGGCGGCAATGTTCATCAATTTTAGTGAGAACACGAAGGAAAATTTCTACAAGAATGTCAAGAAGGAGCTATATAGCTTGAAGAACTGCTATGACTCCAAAGAAGTAGAGAATTGGAATGATGAGGAGTTGGCCTGGATGTTCCTAGTGGATGGCTGTGCATTGTTACAATTCATAGCCTTTGATATGATGGATTTGCGGCTGGATTACACTTTTGACTTTGGTCTAGTCGACATTGAGAAGGTTGATCTTTTCTTACTTGAGAACCAACTGCCCTACCGGCTTCTTGAGATATTGATAGACTCGTTCTGGGAAGTCTCAAGTGAAGAATCAACCGAAATTCCTAAGGAAATCAAATCTAAGTTATCCAAGAATTTGATCACCGAATTCGTCAATAGGAGTTTCTTGATACTGACTGCGCAGCAACAACTCCAAATTCAGGTTGATTATTCTCAGCCTCATCCTCCTCATGAGCAACAACAAGAAGAAGAAGACCCTCCTCAACATCTTCTAGAGTTGTTGAGAAGAAGACTGATTGGAGTTAAATCGAAAGAGAAGAGTGATGAGGAACAAAAAAGAATTAACAAAGACGGTTTTCGAAAGACACTGACTGGTGATACAAGCAAACAGTGGCCCTCAATTCGCAACGTAAAGGAGCTGAAAGACATGGGTATTCGTTTTAAAGCGAGGGAAAAGGGAGGCGCCATCACAGACATTGATTTCAAGTACCATTGTTGCATGCCAACCCTTACGCTGGCTCCCATTTTTTTGCACAATACCACCGTGCCATTGTTGCTGAATTTGATAGCGTATGAGCTGTGTCCAGATTTCAAAGAAACTTGCAAGATCACCTCGCACTTGTCATTCCTCGACTCCTTGATTGATAATGAGGAGAATGTGAAGGAACTGACAGATGCAGGAGTGCTGCAGAACGGATTAGGAAGCGATGAAGCTGTAGCGAACCTGTTCAACAGGGTCAGCGGCATCCTGCTGTCAAATCTTAAGATAGACTTAGAATTGAGACGTAATATCCATGAATACTGCAACAAAAAATCACACCCACGCTATCTATGTGCCAACGCCGTGGCTAAACTCACTGACACCTATTTTAGCAGTCCTTGGAGCTTCTTGGTCTTCCTCGGCGTCTTAGCAGGTCTTATTATGACAGGAATGCAAGCTTATAATAGCTTCCGCGAAAACAAGCTCACGCTACTGAACTTTAATCACTACATATATTAATAGCGTTCTTAAAATATGTCTTAGGTTTCAATTGGATTGGTAAAACAATTTTATGTATTTTTTGTTGTTATTATGGTTATTATATTTATGGTATTTTTTATCAAATATTAACTGTTATTATTTTGTTTATATTAACTATTAATAAAGTCAATATTATTTTACCTTTATTATAGTCCCTATGGACTACACCAATCGCTAATAAGTTCGTTAGTGTAGGATCCATCAGTACACATTTATACTGACAAGAACCAGTCATCAGTATGGTAATAGAAAACTACACCGACAGTTGTTTATGACCAATATCTTAAACTATCTACTATAATGATGGATGTGATATACAGATGACAACACATTAGTATTATATTATTCTGTCAGTAAGGTCACAAACAAGCCCTTCTTCTAAAAAAATGGAAAGCGTGGGTGTAGGGTTTCGAGCGAGGTCTTCGACAACGAAGGATGGGGTTATCAGGCGGCGGCTTCCAAGATATGTTTCTTAGTTTATTGGCCAAGCAACGACTTATTTTTTCTATGATTTTCCAGCTGATCAAATTGCTAAGGACTTGTGGTTTAGCTTCTGGTCATATGGGAAAGTGGCGAACGTATATATTCTGCCAAGAAGGGATTGGAGAGGGCGCCGGTTTGGTCTCGTCAAAATGGCAGGTGTTTCAGATGTTACAGATATGGAGAGGAAATTGAATCAAATAAGGTCAGGCTCTTATCATCTCAAGGTTAAATTGGCTGACAATATGAGAAGAGGAAAGGAAGTGACAACACCGGTACTGAGCAAGCAGCCTGCAAAACAATGGGTGAGAAGGGATAGAAAAGTGAACCCTGGGGTATCATATACACAGGTGGTGGTAGGGAAATTTGCAAGAATTGAGGAAAGCAGGTCTTTAATGAGTGGCAGTAGGCAAGAAGTGGTGCAAACGGGAAGGAAGAGACAAGCACTAAGCAAGAACAGGTTAGTTTCAAGGAGGCAAAGGGGGTACCACAGTTGGCTTTAGAGTTTTCTCCCACAGAGGATGAGAATGCATGGCTAAAGAGAAGCATGGTGGCGGTGGTCCGATCATTAGACACGGTGAAAAAAATACAAAATAGATTGGATGTTGATGGTTTAATGGTGAATGTGGCTTTGGTAGGGGGTAAACAAGTGATATTAGTGGACAATTCGAGGGTTGTTTACAGGAGTTTCTTAATAGTAATAAGGAATTGGTGGATTCGTGGTTTGAATGGATACAGCCATGCTCATTATCTACTACTTCGGCAAGGCATAGATTGGTTTGGCTTCATTTTTCAGGTGTACCTTTGAAGGCATGGTGTGAGAGATGTTTTGTAGAGTTAGGTGGGCTAATAGGAGAGGTGGGCTTCATATTTTTAGTATTAAAGAGAAGAAAGATGGAATTCGGTGGGAGCAAGGGATCTTGTAGACTTAGGTTGTCACTGTCGCTTTCGTCAATGATGAGCACTTAAGCACTTGAGGGAGGTGATACACTAAAATCACCTTAATAAGTGTACTAGTTGCTCCAAATAATATAATGATGAAAAGAGTGTCGAACCCACAAAGATTATGATTAATTAAGTGCCAAAATAATTACTCTAAATTTATTTGAACAATAAAAAAGAAAGAAACTTTAATTAAAAACAATAAAAAGAAAATAACAATTAAAATCAAACTAATCAAGATTTGAGGTACTAAAACATTGATTTCACCATATTCAATCAATATAAATTCTGGATTAATATACTTTGAAAACCAATTTATTGAATATTATTGCATGTGATGGTAGATTTCTCTAAATTAATTAACCAGTTTTCTCAAGTTAAGTTAATCCTTCCCTTGCTTGTCAAATTAAACAAACAGATGAGCATTAAATTCTATGGAAACCTCTAGCTTAGGAAGGGGGAGCTCCTAACTCTCTTCTCTTCCTCCACTATCACATGTGAATTAATTACCTTTTAGTCTCATAATCTAACACACGGTTTATATTAGCAATAATCTTCGTGATGCATTTGTAAATTAGATTGCAGCAGGATATAGGCCTAAATTCAGTCATCTTAGATGGGCAGACACCTTAGGCACTAAAGAAATAATTAAGAAGAATTCTTGTACTGCTTTTGTAACCAAGTCTCCAACAATGCTCCAAGCACTTTTATAGAACTCAACAGTATACCCATTTGGTCTAGGGCTCTTGTTAATTGGGCTGCTGAAAAGAACTAATCTACATTCTTCTGTTGTAACCGGCTGAATTAGTGCTTCTCGAGTTGCTTCAGATAGTTGGAAGTCAAAGAGAGCTTTCAACTGATCAAGATCCCCCCCAATGCAGTAAGGATCCTCACTCCCTAGAAAAGCTTGGTAAAAACCAATAGCTTCATTTGCAATATCCTCATGTTTAGTGAGTATTTTATCATCTTCACTATGCAATTCTTTTATCAGGTTTTTACTTTCTCGAACTTTCATAACTTTATGAAAGTAAGTAGTATTTTGGTCTCCAACCTGTAGCCAATGCACTCTAGATTTTTGTTTTAGAAAGGCTTCTTTAGCAAGTGATAGCTCTGCCACCATCCTAGCTTGTTCTTGTTCCACCAAAACCAAATCTTCATGAGGATTAGCTAACAATTCAATTTGGATAGCATGTAATTTTGAAGTCTCTTATTGAATCCTTCCTTGCAGATCACTGTAACAATCCTTATTAAGCTATCATAGAGGGGCCTTAAGAGCCTTCAACTTTTTGCAAAGCTAAAACATGTAGCATCCTAAAACTGTGATAGATGACCAAACCTCCTAGACAATGTTTAGGAACTTTTCATTCTTTGTCAAAAATTTGAAAAATCTGAAAAGTTTTTGTGGTATTTTGGGCTGCCACTTCCATTATAGTTACCGACCCAACACAATGGTCTGAAATATCAGGGGGTAGAAACTCTGCTCTTGTTCTTGGAAAGGTGCTAAGCCAAGTGCTATTGATTAACAACCTATCAAGCTTTTTAACACTGAGTCATTTTCTCTTGTTTGACCATGTAAATTTAGATCGAAAAGCAGGAAGATCAAAAAGTTCAGCTTCATTCAACTTGTCATTAAACAGCTCAGAATGCTTGGAGAACTACATGTTTTGGATTTAATCAGACTACTCTTGTAGATATCTAACTTCATTAAAGTCACCTTGCTTAGAGCAACTAATTCATCCCAAAATCGTCTCCTTTGATCAAGAGAATTATCAACATTCACAAAACTAGCAAACATGTATTGCTTAGTAATAGCGTCAACCACATGACAGTGTATAGCTTGATGATTAGAACTAGATATCCTTATAGTTATATGGGACTTCCAAAAAAGCCAAATTCTCCCTAATGAGTTTCAATAAGACAAACTATGTCTACATCATACTTCCTCACCGTTTGTCTAAGTGACTTATATGTCGCAGATTTATTTATCCCTCTTATATTCCAAAATATGAGTTTCATTTATGATATGGTGTTGAAGAATTTTCAAAATATTTCCAGGATAAGTTGATTCGAAGCAATTGCGCAGAATGCATTTGAGAAAATGTAACTTTGGTTCGAACCATAATTATATGATTCGAATCATTTACGGAAAATCAAAATCTGAAAAGTTACGATTTTGGTTCGAACCACATTTTTTTGATTCGAACCATTTACGTCAAAATAAGAGATAAAATTCAGATAAGTTTCTGAAGAGAGTGGATAACTTTGAAAGGCAAGGAAACACGTGAGTTGGAATTCAAATCAAACCAAATGACTTTTGGAAGAGTTTCCAATGGATAAAAACTGAAAAGAAGTGTTTGTTCCCAATAGACATCTTGAAAAGAAGTGTCTATTCCAACATACATCTTGCCCTATAAATATGGAGTTATCTCTTCTTCTATGGTAGAGTCTTTATTTATTTCTTCTTCTCTGGTAGAGTCTTTTTGAACCTAGAAATATCTAAATAAAATAGCCCCTTTTTGTATTGCGATTGCTCGAGAAATCCCTATACAAAAACTATTGTTTTGTCACTTTCCAAAGGATGGTTCAATGGTTGATCTTGCTAGTGCAAAGGCTAGATCAACAAGGCGCTTCATTGTATCCTATGGGCATTTCGGGTTACCCCTTTTGCATACCAGATCTGGTGGGGGCGAAATTAGCCTAAAGGAAAGTGGCATTTGCAGCACGCCTTGAAGCCAATGATCTAATGATCTCATTTCTAACCCCTTATTTCTCCAACATATGGAAGAAGGGATATCTCACTGGAGGGGTTTTGAAATTTTCTTGTAATTTCTCTATTGAGGGGCCAAGGGATACCTGCATCTATGTTTTATTAGTTTATAACCAAGATAGCAAAGAACAATGAAACTTGAGTATAAGAAGAAAGGGGGCAAGATACATGAATAACCTCATTAGGTTTTTGTTTAGATTCATGTGTTTATTGTAGGACTAGTATGGTTGTAAAAGAATTGTTCACTTTTATTTTTTTTTCTGGGTTATTAACGAAAACTATTGGCTTACCACATTAACCAATCACATATGTATGTTAAACAGAATAGAATTTCAAAACTTTCGTTTTATAACAGTAATGAATTAGACAAGTTTTGACGTTTTAATTTTAGGGAGGAAGAAAGGCAAAGATAACAAAAATTGTTGGTTATTCATTACTTCGCTAGTTACTACATTTGTTACTATGATTCTATACATACTTGTTAACATGGTTCTGCAATCTGTTTCTGCAGATGAGCAACAAGGGTGCTTTCATTCGTTATGAAGCTCCTGATTTGAAGCCAAACATTGTTACCTTCTCCGCGGTGGAAAGTACCTTTGTCCCGTGATATCCCTTTTTAGACTTTCAAATTGCACATCAATCAGTCTGTAACAATACCTTTTTGTTTCCTGATGTCAAGCCAATGGTATATGCAAACAAATTTCTTCGGTTGTTCCAATAACTTACATATTTGTCTTGAATGATCTTCTATGGTTTGGGGGATACAAAAGCTCAACTGCTAAACAGTAAGTTGCTTGAGCTAGAGACATAGTGCTTGTTGACAATGCTGCTTTGACTAATAGTTTTTTCCTTTGAAGGAATCCCTTGGAGGTACATTCTTTCTACTAATTTTCGTCAGTTAGGAAGTCCATGCATTTCGTCCATAGTTGAAATTTTCCTTTGATGTCAATTAGAAAGGAACCCGATGGTGCCTTGTAAAATATATGACCCCTTTTATGTTTGTGTCTATAACATTTGTTCCTATTTATCCGAACAACAAATTTGGCGTGTTTCTATGTCCGGTATGCATTATTCTTGCTTAAGATTTATATTGCTGCTGGTTTGATGTTGAGGGATGGAAATCTTGTCCCCGTTTCTAATAAAGCTCACGATGCTCCAAGCAATCGAGTCTCATGCGGATTTCATTTATATCTATTAATTACCTCAAACTTCTACAGCATGTTTGGTCTGACAGTTTTGAGGGAACTAAAAGAGAGGGGAGGAGAATAAAAAGATACATACTAATGAAAGCAAAATGTTTTTTTTTTTCTCCCCCCTGTTCCTTCGAATTTTTTTGATAATTAAATAGAGAAAATTTTTTCTCTCTGTTCCCCTCAATTTAATTATATTGTGAAGCATGGTTTCTATGGGAACAAAACTGTCGAAAAAGTTGAGGAAATGCATTTCATTTCTCTTGGCCTCTTGGACCATTGATTCCAGTTGGATTTTCCGAAATTAAAGGAAAGTGAGAACTAGAAGTTGAAGATGAAAATTGAAAGAGGAGATGAGGTGAGTTGATTTACAGAAAAGGAAAGGAAAGACCGACGTAGGGTCCGTTTGGTATTTGGAAAGTATGGGTTTCCCTTTTAAATGTATTTTAGTATATTCATTTCTCAATATAACAACAAATCAATAATGGTAAAGTTGAAATAAAAATTAAGGAAAACTAGAACCCACAGCAAGAGAACAAAGGCCGGAACAACACTAAATAGCCGACGGACTAAGGCCA